AAAAAAAAAAACAAGAAGAAGAGAGTTAGAGCGAAAATTTGGCGAGAAGCGGGAAAGGGTAATTACTAATGATCGCAGAGGATCGTTATTAACCTTTCTGGTGGCGAGAGGCATCAGGACGTAGCAGGACCATTGTCCATTCCGCTAGGTTCATTACGGTGTTCCAGTAGGGAATGAGGCGATGGTCGGCTGGATGATGTAAAAAAGGGTAAAAGAGAAATAAGAAAAGTGTCGGGGGTCAGAGGAGACCGAACGGCTACCGTGAATGGCGCAGCCTGACCCAAGAGCTGCCGGGCATCAAAAGGGCCTCAAAAGGACCGCTTCGAACCTCGGCCTGTCCGAAGCTCATTTGTTTTCACCGGCGCATGGAAAGATCGATCGACCGATGTCTTAACCCTACACTCTCCACGGAATCATCCGCTTTCGATAAGAAAAATTCTGAGGCATTAATTAGATCGGCCGGTAATAGAGTCATGATGGAAAACTGATTGCCTGCGTCGAAGTTATGGCAATTTACTTACCTATCAACTATCTTCTCTGCATTTCCTTCCATTTTCTCCTTGGTAATATTTAACATAGTTTTATTAGCTCATTTTTCTCAAAGGTTCATTATTTTTTTATTTGTAAGTTTATATTTAATATTTATTTTTATACAGTTTATTTTACATAAAATTATCTAATATTTCTCTTTTAATTTTTTTTTATAATTGTTTTTTTCTTCAGATCACGTTAAGCTAGATTAACTATCTCTTATAACATTTTCAATATGACATCCACAATCATGTAAGTCTTTGATATTTGTTATAAAATGGTGAAAAATACGATGAAATTCAGAATTGTTGTACATACTGGTGACAGGATCTCTATATATAGAATAGAAAATTCCCATGAGGTATATATTCATGTTATCCGCATTGAATGTGTTAAACAGCATATACTTACCCCTTTTTTTCTATTTCACACAGGTTTCTTGCGATCGTCTTTCTTCTTCTTGATATCGATTCGATGGATGATCGTTAATTTGAATGGACGAAATGATCGGTAACATTAGACTAGATAATTCGATGAGCAAAACAAAAAGAATATAAATTTATATTCTCCATCGAATCATTGTATCTTACGTTCTCACGGCAAAAACATGGTAGATTATCTTACGTGATTGGAGTGGATGAAAATTCCACGTAGACGGACGTGCGGGGTGGAAGTGTTGGGAATTTTAGAAAAATCGGATGAGGAAGAGGTTACACGAGGGGATACTAGGATTGCATTTACAAGGGGGATTTGTACGGTAGTCGAGAAACGAAGTGAAATTATCGATGCGATTGCCACTGGAACAGACTCTCGGTTGAAGGGCCGACAAAGGGTCGATCAGTGATTCTCTCCATCTCCTTTCATCTCGTTCCTTTTTCGAAAGATAACCCCACGGTGGCCACCTTTTTGTTTGCACAGTAAGATTGCTTGCCTCTTGCTCGGAAATTGACCGAAGATTACGGCCGACCGACGTTTGCTCTGCGGCCACGGCCTTAACTTTGCGCTACCACAAAAATATCATTGGCTTCCTCCTTTTCCCTTCCAACTTCTTTGTCTTCTTCTTTCTATTATTTTTTTCCTTCAGGTATTGATTTCTTTCATGTTTTATACATATATGAAAAACCAATCGATCTTTTACCTTTTTTCTCACTCAAAAACTTGAAATTTTAAAATTCAAATTACAAATTAATTTCCTTTAAATAAATGGTACGTAACAAGTTATGAAAAAATTATTCTTATAATCTATTATTGTGTTGCAACGAAAATTACAGTACACAAATGTAATATTTCATATATTCTATACATTAGTTGTATAGATATTTAAACGTATATAGTTGCATAAAAAATTGCAATCCAATCATTATTCTTCAAATTTTTTCCCAAAACGTATCGACATCTATAAAATCGTTCTTTTTATTCTTGATTTACAAATAAAGTAAAGTATCATCTATCGTTCGTCTGAGAAATTATACGACAAACATTTTAACTGCGACGTAACCACAAAACTTCTCTTTCCCCGGTCATACACTTCCCTTTCCTCCTTATCCCGAAGAGAGATGATGTCTAAGCTTATTATCGAGACCCTCGAGACCTCTCTTTCTCTCCATCTTGCAGGATTTGATCGAAGTTGATGGAGCGAGCACGGAGCTAACCGCCCAGAGTATTATGTGTCGAAAAATATTCAAGAAAACCTCTTCGGCCAGTCCTTCGGAGGAGCAATGACTTTTGTCCGCCACGATACTGTCAGAAGTGATTACCCGTAATGGATCAAGCTCTTTAATGCTCTACCCACGTGCGCTAGAAGAATTATCCGTCCGAGAGGCAGCTAGAGCTTGTTTAAAGGGCGTTGTACGCCCGTTATACGACGCGGTAACAAGCGCGATTTCAGCTCACGGTGTACAATTAAAAGTAACACGGCTCGATGCGCGTTAACGCGAGCGAGTCGAATCGTTTGATCCTCCGTAGAAAAATTGCGCGCTCTATTCCGAGAGAAAGAGAAAGATTTATGACATACGGTTCTAAAGATCGTAAATCATTTGGTATATCGTAAACAGCCAATAAGCCGAGATCAAAGAGACATTAAACTCTGGTCGAAGTTGGAGAAGTGGGGTTAGAACCGGTTAATCGTTGATAGAGGAGTGATTATTAAATAGAAAAGAAAAAAAAAACAAGAAAAAAAAAAGAACAGATTATTCTTCTCCTAGAGAAAGCTAATTATGAGAGGCATTAATTAAGCACTAACGACGAAGGATTATTAACGAACAAATCGGTTCTCCTTACATGGGGACAAGGTTTTGATCGACGAGCCACGAGTTTAGCCGAGGGCAACTTACGACGGCCAATCGATCTATCGATTGAGATCGATCGAATTACCGGTATGCACGATCCTTTCCTCGTATCGATATATATATGTATATATATATATATATATATATATATATATATGTGTGTATATGTAAGGATCGATTGCAGAATGAAAGATTGTGAACTAATACGGGTGACAGAAGGGAGTGTACAGACGCACGGGAAAGACGCGATTGAATTACCATAAAACGCCATGATTAACGTAAAGTAAACGAATATAATGCCGCAATGACCGCAACCTGTTCTATAGCAGTTAGAGTATGTCCCCGCAATGGTTTCCTGTATCTCTACGTCCGACGCGATGTCTTTCATTTCTCTTTTATCGTATCGTTCTCTGTGAAATTATAATTTCGTGTACGAATAGATTTAAATTTAATTGGTAGTGGAATTTCAAGATTATCATCTATGATGAGAAGTACGATAAGACTTTAAAACTTCGCACGGTCATTCAATTATTGGGTTCGTGTGTAATAGGTTAGGTAATATGAACACTGTGAATGCAGAAATAAATCAATTTACATAATATAATATCCCTATATCTAGTTTTGAAATCATTTAAATTTTATGTAAGTATTGTTATGTATGCTAGGTTTTTATTATTTACGTAAATTTATATCAATAATGTTATTCGTTCATTTCAAGTATTGAAACAAATATATAAAAGATATAGCAAATAGAATAGAATATTTTGTGAATATGAATTATATATTTCGTAAAATAAATTGATTTAAAAATTATATATTACATAAATTACGTAATAAAAATTTGATAAGATTTTCATCAATTAGAGACAATATAATTCCTTCAATCTTGAAAATCTTTTGAAGGCGCAATCTAATTGTTTTGAAGCAGAAATTCTGATGTTTTTTTGTTTTATAAAAAACTTAAGTGGTCGATGTGCGTGCACGAGTGCGTGAGAATTGACATGCGTGCATAGGTGTGCGTACGCGTGACAGTGTACGGTAGGACAGAACATATGATACATATGGGAACGTTAGGCTCTGTGGTTTGAAGCCCGTAACGTGTGGCCAGGGCCGTATGAGATGTAAGGCGCCCCAACGATGAAAAGGGGGCCACGATCGACAAGGAGAAACGAAGAAAGGAGACTAACACTTCTGCATCTTGCCACATATTATATGTGGATTTAGCCTTCGAAGATTACGCAAACGACACTAGAGGCTTGATTTCCGATCGATTACAGTGTCTCCGATGACAGGAATTAACATCGTAGCCTTCTACGATACTAGGATATTTGATTCTGTTCGAATTCCATATGATTAATCAAAATCTTTCGTTCGAAAGTTGTTTTACGCTCGAGATTTTACAATCTGACATTTGTCGAAAGATATTTTACAATTTATCTTTGAAATATGGTATCTACATCAAAATATGATAGATTCAAACTTATCTTGAATTAAATTTAAATTATCTTTTAAGTAACGTCGATTTAAAAACTTTGTTTCGATAGAAAAATTGTTAATTACTTTCTCGATAAATTTTTTGACTTTTTGATTAAAAAGTTCGTCTAATTATTTGTATTTTCAAAGATTTTCAAATTTTAATTGTCATTCAAATAAGAAGAAAATAGAACAATTTGATAGGTGGCGTTTAGTTAAAAAAATATGGCGGACGTAGATTGAAACCGTTTACGTTGTTTAATTTTTTGCGTGTGATTAAATAAGTGTTATAGCAGAAAAAACTTCCCTGTGATTTCTTAATAATAATCTTTTGTTTATCAAAATTAATTTTTGCCTTTATTTCAAAAGTTTATAATAAATAATTATTCATAATTACAATTAGATTTTCAAAGCGAAATCCTAACCTAATAATTTTTCGTTATTTAATCAACGTGATTGTGAACCACCAATTGGTCAATTGTGCCAAAAACGATTCATATTCGAATCACAAGAGTTAAAAGAAAGTATGGAAAGTCTTTATTAGACTTATATCATAAAAGATTCGTGGTGTGTGGTCATCATGGTCCTTCCAAAAGAGACGGTTCGAAAGGAGGGTAGTGCATCGGCGCATTGTGTCTCATTCCACGGTGCATTGCGCAAGCTTGTGAGAGAGTCGATTGGCTGATCGGTTACAAAGTCTTTCTTGCGGCAAGACCGCATTCCGTCTTTAACCGGTCCCTACATCGACTCGTCGGCTCGATCTCATCGATGAATTCGTCGATCCGGCAATACCCAAGATTTTTACGATCCCTCCAACCAGGATCAGGCTTCATCGCTTCCTCTCTGTTAGGAAGGGGTATTCTGCTCGTCGATCGAGGTACGTCATACGACATATTTGTAAACCTTATACCGTTTCACGAGGAAATAAACTTCCGCGCGATGGCGTTTACCTACCTATATTTATCATGCAAATTTGTCGTAATTTAAAATTTACGCGTGTCTTTGAAATTATACATCTCTAATATATATTCCCGTAACTTTCCAACATGATTTTAACATTGCTATTTTGATGAATGTGCGTTTTCTAGTGAGTTCCTCGAACTCTACTACAGGTAGTTCTCTAGCTATGTTTGATTGATAAAACAGCACCGATCTGCATACCGACACGTACCTGCGTGAATATATAGGGTGTCTAATTTTATCCTATAAATGAGAATTACTCATAAGCTATTTTTTGTTTAAACATTGCTTAAAAGAGATACTATACATAGATGATTTTTCTAGATATAAATTATGTTTGATACTTTTTATAGGAAATAGCGCATTAAAAATTATATTCAAAAGAATATATTTTCGTATATCGTATAATCTCTACGCGTTTATCCATAAAAAAAAGATTTTACTGCATCGAAATTATTTAATTCATATTTGAATATTTGTACAATGAATGTAACGAGTTACGAATAATTTACAAAAGAAAGCAGAATTTATAATTAAAAACTAAATAAGAAATATTCAAGAAGCAGATATTTTTGGAACCAATCATAAATTCATTCTTTAAATTATGGATATATGCATTTATGAATCATTCTGTACAAGTATTCAAAAAGAAGTATGAAAGAATTCGCACGGAACAAACAACAAATATATATAAAATAAACTCGCGTTGCTCTTCACCAAGCTATTTTTTCTCTTGTTATCCCTTGGTTCTCGCTAATGATGCAATCGACTAACAAGAATTCCAGCTATCAACTTCTCGTGGCCGATCGTTTCCTCTTTCCGTTACCGTATCTCGGTCCATCTCGTTCCTCAATCTCCGTGGTAATCGTTTTAATCTTTTCTTCGAGTGAAAGCAACTCCGGCTAAATTGAGATCTCGTCGGTTCATCCGGACTACGCCGGTGAATTTCATCGATTTACCCTTTTCCCTTTGAAAATTCAACGCAATAATCATCCGTGGCCTTTATAATTTCGCGCTCTCAATTTTGTAAGATACAGAAAAATGCATAACTTCATTTTCATTAAATATTGATTCTTCTTAACTCTTTGAAGTAGATATATATTGTGAATCCATAGTATGATGATTGAATGAAAATGTAATTTTTTAAATTTTATTTTCTATAAATCTATTGAACTATTAGCATAGAAAATTGATGACCAACAGGATAAGTACTTTTTAGGAGATTAGGATGATTTTGATTTTTAATTTACTATTTGTAATATTTATTTATTTTAATATAAATATATTGCTGTATTCTACAGAAATATCAAAATGATCCTCGAATCATGTAATACCGTTAGTCATAATTCCACTATAGTTCCATTCATATTTCTATAATTCAATTTCCACGAAATTACAAATTATAAAAGGATAAAAATCGTGTTAATTTTTCAAATTTCACCTTATTTTCTATACTTAAAGTTATTTGAATATTACAAAAGAGAGTCAATTAGAAACTAATTATAAAAAGTATTTACTTTATTTTCGTTTCATGGGAATAGTTAGTTCTTTTTTACCTCCAAAAGAAACAAGACGGGGAAAAAAATATCGAAAAAAATTTCTCCGATTGTATTAAATTGGAATCGGAATGATTTTTAAATCCGTGGCCCGCACGTAAAGCGTAATTTATCGGATTAGACAACCGGGGGTCGTTCCGTTTCTAAGGTGCAACGAGTGCATCGAAGGCGATACACCTTAGGCGGGAATAAAATCGCCGGGAGTGACGAAGGGTCGTGGCAAAAACGCGCTCTCGAAGAGCTAATTTTTCATTCGTCTTCTCGGTCTATTTGGCCCCTCTACTCCCCTTGCATGCTACCACTTACGTGTAGATCGGGCAAAGCATCCATCAACCGCGCGGCGGTGGTGACTTCTAGATGCAGAAAAACTTAATTACCTTCATTAAGGTGGAGAGGCTGGCTGCGTGATCGCGGCTGATCAGTCCTCGATTTCGTCCGTACCCCTGTCCCTCGATCATTTTCGAACGATTCGTCTTGGATCGCCTGTCAAATCAACATTCCTCGTCCGCATCGGATAAAAATTAATTTTTTTTTTTTTAAAGACGGAATCCTCATTATACAGGATGTCCCCCATTTTTCCAGCCTAATTGAGAATAATCTGCGCGAATGAGAAATATTAAAAAAAAAAAAAAAAAAAAAGATGTTGCAAACGTATCATTCAACTGGATCGAATCCAACAATCGCAGAAACATTCGTCGTTCGTTCGAATTCTGATTTGTAAAAAATAAAAAAGAAAAGAAAAAACAAACGAGACACGAACCGATCACGGCCAATTAGAAACTTCGTTGCTCGGCTCGTGCCTTTCTCGAGCGAGCGAGGAAGAAGGCAGTAGTGCATGCATGCGCCCACTTCGCATACGCCGGTAACGCACGAGATATTATACAATGCCCTCTCCTCCCC